TGTTGTACCAGTTTTTGAATATTTTGACTATTGCTCTTGGAATTAGACACTTATAAAATTATCAAAGGGCTTGGGGAGCAGACCTGTAGAATGACACCCAGAAGCAAACTGCCAGGGAAGCTGTTTCTCTGCTTCCAATGAGGACGGTGGGATAAGAGGAGGCTGCATAGGGAGTACTGAGTTCAGAAGCTCACTACCTGGAATACACCAATAAAAAGGAACAAACTACTAAAACATGATGCTACATCATGAACGATTCTTTTCTTTTTTCTTTTTTTCTTTCATCCTCACCCGAGAACTTTTTGCATTTATCTTTTGATAGAGCAGGAAGAGAGAAAGAGAAACATCGACATGAGAGAGAGACACACTGACTAGCTGCCACCCACACGACCCCAACCAGGGCCGGGAACAAACTGCAACCGAGATACGTGCCCTTAGCGGGAACTGAACCCAGGTCTCTCTGGTCCGCGGGCCGACACTCTAACCACTGAGCCAAACTGACCAGGGCATGAATGAATCTTAAGACATTATGCTAATTGGCAGAAGACAGGACAAGAAACCGCATATTATATGATTCTATTTGTATAAAAGGACTAGAAAAGGCAAAAACTTTTAAAATCTGCACCTGAGGATTATTTTTATTGATTTTTATTGTTTAAATGTTTTTATTGATTTTTAGAGAAAGTAGAAGGGAGAGAGAGAGAAAAAGACATCCATGTGAGAAAGAAACATCAATTGGTTGCCCCCCATACATGCCCCGTCTAGGAGTGAAACCCTAAACCTAGGCATGTGCCCTGACCAGGAATTAAACCCACAAACATTTGGTGCACGGGATGACGCTTCAACCAACTAAGCAACCCGGCCAGGGATAAAAAGCAAATTTATATAGAGAATATAGTTGGTGGTTGCCTGGGGCAGACAGTGAGGAGAAAGAGTAATTGTAAATGGGCAAATGGGGTTCTGAAAATGTTCTAAAACTGATTTATGGTCATGGTTATAATACTAGGTAAATTTACTGAAAATTATTGAATTGTATACCTGAAATGAATAAATATTATAATATAGAAAATAAAGTTTTTAAATAATAAAAATAAGTTGCTTAAAAAGAAAAGAAATAAAAGGGGACATACTACAGTAGCTGTGAAGCTGGCCAGAAAGCTGTTATTAGCAACTGACTCTAGATATTCCCAGAGTTGGACACCAGAAAACTGCTGCAGAAACACCACGCAGCAGAAACAGTCAAAGCAGCCTTCTGTTTTATTTTTTAATTTTATTTTTGTTACAGATGTTTCTCCTTTTTTACCCCATTGACACCCTCCTCTTCATCCCCCACCCCCACCCCATCCCCGGTTTTGTTGTCCATGTCCATTGGTTATGCATACATGCATATATGTTCTGTGGTTTATCTCTTCCTACCCTCCACCACCCCCTTTTCTGAGGGTTGTCAGTCTCAAAGCAGCCTTCTAAGTCTCACATGAGAGTGTCTAGCTGCAAGAGAGTATGGGAAATGTAGTCTTTGCTTTCCAACCTCCACAATACAGAAAACCACCTTAGCAGGCACTGTGGGGAATATGAGAAGTAGGAGAAAAGAGGGCTTTAGGCAGAGGGAATAACATGAACAAAGACCCTAAGATCTGTTCAGGAAACAAAAAAGAGGCCCCTTACCCTGGCCGGTTTGGCTCAACGGTTAGAGCATCGGCCTGCGGTCCCGAGAGACCTGGGTTCGGTTCCCTCTAGGGGCATGTACCTCGGTTGCAGTTTGTCCCCGGCCCTGGTTGGGTTGTGTGGGTGGCAACTATTCGATGTGTCCCTTTCACATCGATGTTTCTCTCTCTCTCTCTCTCTCTCCCTCCCACTCTATCTGAACAAAATATCCAAAAAAAAAAAAAAAAAAGAGGCCCCTTGGGTGGGCCATGGGAAGGAGTTTGAATTTTATCCTAGGTGAAATGGAAGCCACTGAGAGGCCTTAAGCAGGATGGTTGCCATGGTCAGATTTGTATCTCAAGAAGGTCCCTCTGGCTGTGCAGGACAACAGTGGAAGCCAGAGACAGTGAAAAGGCCACTGTAGTCTTTTCTTTTTTCTTTTTCTTTTTTTTTATTGATTTTAGAGAGAGGAAGGGAGAAGGACAGAGAGATAGAAACATCGAAGAGAGAGAACATCGATTGGCCGCCTCCTGCATGCCCCCCACTTGGGATTTGGCCCACAGCCTGGGCATGTGCCCTGACTGGAAATCGAACCAGCAACCTCTTGGTGCATGGGTCGACGCTCAGCCACTGAGCCACACCAGTCGGGTAGGCCACTGTAGTCTTGAGATGAAGGATGATGGTGTCCAGGAGCAGGGTGGTGGCAGAGGACCTGGAAGTAAATGGGTAGATTTGAGGTGTGTCTAGGACATGGTAAAAATTGGATGATAGGAGATCAGAGGCATAGTTTCTGACTCTTGAGCTTAGAAAAGTCGCCTTACTTCTTTTTTAGTTACTTTTCTATAAACTGGGGATGACTATAATGGGTAAATTCATTCATTCAACAGATAGTCACAAATTACCTACTATGTGCAGTGGATGTAAAAGTGCTTTTCCCGATGTCTGGCCCCAGAAGAAATACTTGGGAATTTTTTTTTTTCTTTTATCCTTCAAAACTAACCCAAGTGTTCCTTTCCCCAGAAAGGCGTCCTCAGTTCCACCTCAAAACCCACTTTTTTAATGCTTCTAGGCTGTGACAATTAGAGTGACTGTGTGGGATCTGGACTGAACCAGGATGAGGGGGAGAACAGGATAAGGCACAATACCTGGTCTAAACAACGGGGTGGTGGGAAGTGGTGGGGAGGGAGGGTCCACAACACGCCAAATTTCAAATGTTAGCAACTCCAAGATCGTGTTATTTCTTTCCATGGGGCCTTTGTTAATGCTCTTTCCTTCTGCTCAAAATGTTTTTCCTCGTATTTATCCTTTGGTTCAACTTGGATGTTTCCTCCTCCAGAAAGCCTACTTTGCCCAACCATCCCTCATCCATGTTTTCCTTGTGTGCTTTGCTCACCAAAATCAATACTTCTCACACTAATTGGCCATCATCTGTTTACTTCTCTGTCTCCCCACTGGATGGGGACTCCCTTAAGGGGAGGGAGCCTGGAGAAGTCAGGCTAGGGAACTAAAATAGAAGTGACTTGAAGCTTTCAACATCCATTCAACAAATATTTATGGAGCACCTACTTTGTGCCAGGCCCTGACCTAGGCAGCTTTGATGAAGGCAGAAACATATGCAAAGAGAAAGATGAGAAGGACTTTAATGGAAAGAGAACAATTTATGTTAGTCAGAATTGGCCAAGTTTAGCTACAATAACAAATAAACCCTTTAATCCCAGTGACTTAATACAATACAAGTTTATTTCTTGCACATAAGAAGGCTGACGTGTGTGAACAGGGCCTAACTTCTGTCTGGTGATTCCAGGGTCTGGAATCCCTCTGCCATTTCAACATGTGGTCTCCCAGGCTTTGGTGGCAGGAAGAAAAGGGTAAAGAAAGTTCATGGATTCTAATGGTCTCAGCCCAGGAGTGACACCCGTCCCTTCACAGCCCATTGGCTAGGGCTAGTCATATGACTCCACCCCAACTGTGAGGGAGGCCGGGAAATATAGGGAAACACATAGACCATCTCTGCCACAGCATCTTAGTCTGAGCAAAAGTCATGTGTGTGAGAGGGGATACAGGGAGCAGCACATAGGCTTAAGAATAAAGCCATAATGCCTGGCATTGACTCACAATAAAGCCCCAGTAACTGGAATTTTGTTGTTGGTTTTGTTTTTTATTTTTCTGCGATTGAATTTAAGTGCCTTTAGATGACCTATTCAGTTTGCCCCAGTCCCCACTACTCCTTCTTGTCCTGCACCCAGCCTGCCTCCCTCCCTGGCCCCAGAAGTCCCCTGGTTTGAGTCAAATGGGTTTCAGAGTCCCTGTTCACCTCCCAAGCTTGTTCTGAGATGGGGGCAGTGGAGAGGACTTTTCATCCCCAGGGTCCTTAGTTCCCTTCTTAGCAGAGCTGGGGAGCTCTAGTCCTGCCCCCTCCCCCCCCTTTATTGATTTTAGAGAGAAAGAGGAAGTAATAGGGAGGGAGAGAGAGATAGAAACATCAATGAGGGAGAACATCGATTGGCCCCTCTTGATGCTGAAGAGAAACCCCACATCAGCTGAGACAGAACCACAACCACAGAGCTCCATGATTATCTAGATGTGTGTTTTATTATCTTTAGGATAATTGTTATTGACAAGGAGAAGGTGTCTAGCAGGTTATATACAAGCCATAACATCCAGGATGATATTTACATATTCCCCCACACACATTTATCCCACAACTTCCAGGGTGATGTTTACATATCCCCCACACACATTTATTCCACAGCTACCGCACAACACAGCACCACAGGGGATCTCCACCTAAAATGCTTCTCACAAGCAGAACACAGCTGTGGATCAGGTGCTCACACACACACACACATGCACACACACACACACACACCCATTCAAGAAACCCAAGAAGGAGAGGAGATCCTGGGTTCTGGGGGCAAGTTTACATGTGGTGAATTCTGACACATGGGGTGGGGGATGGAAGCTAGATTTGGACATCACTGCTTCAATTCACCCCTCCTTGCTTGCCCCAAAGGCATTCTGCCCCTCTCTGGGAATCCCTTAGAAGACACAGAAGGGTCATCTTAGCCAGGGCTAAGGCAGGGGAGCAGGCCTGCGGGGTGGGAGAGGGTCTCTGGGATCTGACCCCTTGCCAGTGATGCAAAGTGGAGTAATATGGGGTTTTAACTCATGGGATGGCTTTCTCATGTCCCTGAAGGAGAGGAGCAAGGCCAGGGATTTGGGTGTGTGCATACAGGGGGGCTCAGGTCTATGATCAGGGATCTAAGAAGGAGGAAAAGAAGGATCACAAAGGGATAGGGCACACAAGGGCTCAAGACATTCTCAGACCCCAAACTCAACTTAATGAAAAACTGGGCTCACTTTTCCAGGGGCTCCCTGGCCCAGGCCACCCGCCGCCCAGGGTGCTGCCGCTTCTCTTCTGACCCCTGGCTCCTGCCCAGGTCATCCAGGAGCCCCAGCAGGAGGCTGGCTTGACCACAGGCTCCCTGGAGCCCACATGGGCCTCCCAAGGCTCTCTTGCCAGGATGCTGGCGTTTCTCAGGCATCAGCTCTCCCTCCTGCTCCTCTTCTTCTTCCTCCTCCTCCTCTTCCCAGTTCCTTTGGGCCTTGGGATCCACTAGCCTTCTGCCTGGGTGCTGCCTCTTGGTGAAAGTATACTCCAGCCAGGAGGAGCGCCGGCCAGGGTGCTGCCGTTTCTGTTGGGTAACATCCACTGACCACATAGCTGCATCCTCCCGCCGGCCTGGGTGCTGCCGTTTGTGGGGCCCCACAGCCCCTCCCTCTTCCTCCTCCTCTTCAACTCCCTCTTCTGCCTCCTCCTCTCTTTTGCCTGGATGCTGACGCTTGGAGAGCCAGTTGGACTGAAAGACCTGGGACTCTGTGGAAGGAAAGAGGCCAGTGATGGACCCCCTGACCCCTGAGTGCCTAATCCAGCTTTCCTCCCAGTCAAGGTAGAAATTCCTGCAGCACTCACCCAGGGGTATGGCCTTGCATCTGTCTCTGAGGACTCACAGACACACTCACACAGATGGTCAAAGACATGACTTCTAGTTCCAATCCAACTCTGCCACTCTGCTTAAGTGACCATAAAGCAACTTACTCAAACTCTCTGAGCCTCAGTTTTCTTCTGTGTAAAATGAGGATAATGACAGTACCTGTCTATAAGTTTGTTAGGAAGATCAAATAGTGTGACAAGGTGTTTGAAGTGTTTAGAACAGTGAGTACCTGGCATATATTTGTCTCATAAGTAGTAAACACTCAGACTCTCTCTCCCCAGCACAGAATCTTCCCCACCGAAAGTATGCTTTCTGTGAAATATTCCCCGACTGAGATGCAAGAGGAATCTGGTCCCAGTAAAGGGTCAACCAAGGACCCTGCGGAGGGTGTGGCCAATAAGAGTTTCTGAGCAACAGGTTAGATTACCAAGTCGCCCCCTCTCTTCTGCTCTGGGTTCCCCCCAGCCCTCTCCTCAGCCTCATCTCACTCGGACAGCCCCGCCTCTCACCTGACTCACGATTTCCCTGGTCCCCTCGCAGCCGCTGGAGGTCCTCCCGGAGAAGGAGGAGGCGCTCAGTCTGACGCAGGAGGGCGTCCAGGCCAGGGTGTTCTGCAGCCACCGCAGCCTCCTGCTGGTCCATCTCGGGCTGTGCGCGGCCTCCAGGGACACCGGTCAGGGTCAGGGTCAAAGCTATGGCGAGCAGCAACCAAGGGCCAGGCATCGTGGCGTCTGGGGTCGGGAGGACAGACAGCATAAGCGCGCTGAGCCCCCCTCCCAGTCCGCTGCATCTCCTTCTCTCCTGTCTCAGCGGGTCCCTGAGACCAGAGTAACAAACCCTTTAAACTATACCTTTCGGGAGCAGGGCCACCTGCCACCAGGGAGTAGAGGGGCTGGGGCAGAGGGAGGATCTGACTCCAGCTCTAGGTGTCCTCACCCATAGAGAAGCTTGGAGCGCCTGCCCGCGCCCAGTTCTGCCTGCACCAGCCAGGAGGCTGTGGGAACCCGGTTGCCACCGCCACTGCTCAGTGTTCCTCGGAGCTGGGGCAGACCTTGCAGGAGTATAACCAAGTCTGCAGCGCCAGGATGCTCACTGCCGCGCCTCAGGCTAAGGTTCTTCCCAAGGTTCCCAAAGCTACATTCTAATTCCAACACTCCTTCGCCAACGTTCTAATTCCAACGCTAAGATCCTATTTCTAATGCTAAAATTCTATGACTAAATTAGGAATCGAATTCTGACGCTAAGATCCTAATTTCAAAGTTAATTACAACGCTAATTTCTGGCGCAGACACTGAGATTCTAAAGTCAAATTCGATTCTAAATTCGATTCGAAAATTCAGTTTCTAACGTCGGGATTCGAATTCGAATTCCCGGGCTCTCACGCTGCCGCCCTGACTGCCGAGTTGCGACTCAGGGTCCCGGCGCGGACCTGCTGCTGGCTGCCAGGCAGTGCTGGGTTAGCAAATCTTTCATGCGACGCCCAGATGCCGGGACGTGAGTGCAAGGCAGCGACTGCCACTAGTGTACCAGAGACAAGGAAGACCGGTACGAACGCAGCGCCCCACCTGCGTGCAGATGCAGCGGCTTCTCCTGGGACGCACTGGAGAGGGAGAGGAGGGGGCCCCCTTTCCCGGACCCCGCCTGCAGGAGGAGAGGGACGAAGGTGGTTACCTGCGGGGCGAGAGCTCCGCGGGACCGGTCCGGGATCCTGGGGTGGCTAGTCCCAAGTTTCAGGGTATGGAGGCTGCGGGTCAGGAGTTCCAGAGCGCTGGCAGGACCGCGGACACCAGCGCCCGCTGCTCCGCGGGACGCTGCTTATATCCGCTCCAGGCAGCGGAACGGGTGAGGTCAGCGGGGAGGGGTCGCGGCCACCGGGAAGGGGTGCTGACGGCAACCAGCTCCGCTAGTACCCCGCCCGCCGGCCCGCCTGCCTTCGGGCTCCACCGGAAATCTGGGGCGGGGGTGGTGAGGAGGGAGGGAGAGTGAGCTGACACAAGCTGCAGGATGGGGCGCTGGTGCGGGGTCACTTCTGTACCCAGCTCTGAAGGTCGGTTGTCTAAGAGAACATTCGTGTAGCGGACAAAGAGTCAGAGAGACACAGAGTCACACAATCAAAAAGAGATACATGGGAGAGAATAGGAGATCAAGACTGAGAGATGCATACAGAGAGAAACAGAGAGATACAGAGCAGATACACATCAAAGAGACAGAAAGACACAGAGATGGAGACAGAAAGGGAGAAAAGGAGGAAGAAAGAGGTAGAGTGAGAGAGGGAGAAACTAGGGGACAAGTAGGATCTGGGTTCTGATCTTAACTGCGTCACCTCTAGCAAATGCCTCCCGCTCTCTGGGCCTCAGTTTCCTCATCTGTACCGTGGGGGAGGAGGACAGTTTTCAGAAAGCCAAAACTGGTAATCTGTGGGTCACCACCAGTTTACAGATTGTTTTGTATGACTCTACAGTTTTTGTTGTTTTTTTAAACTCTGAATAACCAACATTTAAAAACCAGGAGAACTCAAGAAAAATGTAGATTTATGACTTTTCCTTTTTTTTATTATTAATTAATTTATTTATTTTTGTTACAGATGTTTCTCCCTTTTTCCCCCTTGGTTCCCCCCACCTTCTCCCTCCCCGCCCTGTGCCCAGCTTTGTTGTCCATGTCCATTGTTCATGCATACTGCATATAAGTTCTGTGGTTTACCTCTCCCCCACCATCCCCTCTTCTGGGGATTGTCAGTCTGTATTCCACTTCCATGTCTCTGGGACTACTCCATTCTTCAGACTGTTATGTTCATTATATTCCACAACTAAGTGAGATCATATGATATTTGTCTTTCTCTGCTTGGCTTGTTTTGCTTAGCATAATACTCTCCAGGTCCCTCCCTGTCGTCTCAAAGGATAAGAGATCTTTCTTTCTTATAGCTGCATAGTACTCCATTGTGTATATGTACCACAGTTTTTTTTTTTATCCATTTGTCTACTGATGGACATTTGGGCTGTTTCCAGATCTTAGCTATTGTAAATAGTGCTACTACGAACATGGGGGTACATATATTCTTTCTGATTGGTGTTTCAGGTTTCTTAGGGTATATGATTTATGACTTTTCTTGAAAAACTATTAGAAAAGAGTGGACCTACACTTACTCCTGACAACAGCCAGCTGGAGCTGAGCCTGGCTGCCCCTGGTCACCACACTCTCCACCACTCCTTACTGTCTCCCAGTGTGTTGCCCCAATCACCAAGAAAGGACATTGGAGTTTGTGGTGGACTCTGGACCAGAAATCTGTTGGGGTCCACCTTACCCCAAGCAGAGAAGCAGGAATGTTGACAGAAGGAAAACACAGAAGCCAGGGAATGGAGCTTGTTCCCCAGTACTCCCCAAAGTTATAGGATACCTTGGAAGAGAACTCTTCCACATCTAGTCCTGGTCACAGCCTCCAATCTGAAGCATTTAATGGCTCCCTTGTCAGTTTTTGAGACACAGAAGTTAGCCAAGCCCACTTAGAGGGAACCACGTTTTAAACAGAATAGTATCTGTGAAGGTGTCTCCTACCTCTGGAAAATTCTAACATTATTTTGTCTCCACACCAGCCTAATACTTTCAGTATCTATTGTATGCCCAGACCATGCTAGTGGTCTAGCAAGGGATTCCAAAAAGTTTAATTATTATACCTTCCCTTGGTAGAGCACCCAACCTTCCTGGCACGTCCACTATCTCATTGCATTCTCACATCACCTGGCAAGATAAACAAGGTCAAGACTATTAGTCCCACTTTACAGATAGAGACACAGAGGCCTGGGAAGGCAGAAAGATTTTTTTTTATCCTCACCCAAGGACATTTTTCCATTTTTTGTTCAAATAGAGTGGGAAGGAGAGAGAGGAAGAGAGAGAGAGAAACATCGACGTGAAGGGAGACATCGAGTGGTTGCCTCCTGCATGACCCAACCAAGGCCGGGGACAAACTGCACCCGAGACACGTGCCCCTAGCGGGAACCAAATCCGGGTCTCTCTGGACCGCAGGCCAGCGCTCAAACCGCTGAACCAAACTGGCCAGGGCAGCAGAAAGATTTTGAAGGGTAGAAGGGAACTTTCAGATTACCAGCTAGAGTCCTCTCCTCATTTTTTTGATTAAGAAACTAAGGCCTGGAGAGATGGCCTGAGTGGCTTCCCAACTTCCAGACACTTTTTGCCCCCAAGTTCAGATGGTTGACTGGGGTAGATTACAAACCTGAAACCCCAGGCTTGCTCTTCCAGCCAGACTCCATAATTTGAAGAATTGCCAAACTAGCTAAGCATTTAGTCAGACCGACAAACAGACCTGTTATCTTACACATACAATGGTGGAAGTGGGAATTGATACAACCTCTTTGAGTGGCAACCTGAAAATTTAAACACATAGGTACCTTCCATAAGACAATTCTATTTCTCAGAATTCATCCCATAGACACCCACACCTGTGCCTGAGGTTGTGCACCCAGGGTATATTCAGTGCAGCATGGTTTACAGAAGCCCATACTAGAAACAGCTTGGGTGTCTGTCCACCAGGAGATGTCTGCTTCAATCAACTAGGGCCCATACAAAACTGTGGGGTACTATTGTAACTTTAGAAGAATGCAGCTGTTCCATGTGTACAGATATGGAACAAGCTCCAGGAAAAAAGTGAGAAAAGCAGAGCGGAGAACAATGTGTACATTATGTACATCTGTGTGGTGGTGCAGGAGATGGGCCGGTGTGTTGTAATACAGGGACTCTGTTGGGGTGCACAAGCACAGTGCAGAAGGGGAGCTGGGGAGCCCAGGCAGAGGAGGATAGTGCAGAGGGGCTTGCTTAATGCTGTTTGAATTTTTTCTCTGTGCAGCATTACCTAATCATAAACCAACAAATAGCACCCCAAAAAAACTCTCCCTGAGACTGAGGCTTGGGAGTGATAAGTGTGGATGGATAGAAAAGTTGCCTGGTAGAGAGTGTGGTGGCGGGAACATCGCCCCCTGGTGCGCCCATTTGATGCATTTATATAATCAGGGATTTGAGCTGCCTGTAAGGAGAGTTCCTAGACAGCTGGGGAAGGGAAAGGGAGTTCCCACATAGCTCAAGGGGCCAGAGAAGATGATACAGGCATCTGAAGTGTCCTCAGCAAGCCAACTCTCTCCCTCCCTCCCTCTTTCCCCCTTTTCCCTCTCTTCCTCTGTCCCTTGTCAAATATTCACTAGTAGGTAACAGGACCTGTTCTAGACCTTGGGTACTGTATTGACCATGTGTTTTGGATGCTTTGACCTCTGGGGTCTTGCCAACTCTGGAGAGACTGCCTATCCCAGAGTTAGCCAATTCCTAGAGATAAGAACTCACCTGGAAGTACCTTACATATTCAAACAAACCAATCCAGAGTCCATAGCCCTACCAATCTCTAGGCTACTATCTTCTTGCCCTAATCACCCAGGGCCAGGTATTAGGCAACTAGGGAAAGCCCCTATGCCCCAGAGCTCTCTGAAATTACAGAAACTAGCCAATTCTAAACCGTCTGACCCCATCTGGTCCATTCCTTCCTGCAGAAACCGCAGTAAAGGATCTTGCCCATCTTTCTCCCCACTCCCTGATCCCCATATGGCCCAGCATGGTATGGTTTGCACCCTCCTCTTAGGAACAATGAGTAATAAACTATCTTTCCAATAGCAGTCATCTTCTGATCCATTGGCCTCACCATGTCTGAATAATAATAAAATCTA